CGCCCCCCACCACAGAGAAGATGCGCGTCACGGTGGCCAACGGCGAGCGCGTTCCGTGCCAGGGCGCGTACCGCGTCGTGCCCTTCCACATCGGCCACGAGGAGTTCGCGGAGGATTTCCTCGCCTTGCCGCTCGCGGGCTACGACATCGTCCTGGGCACGCAGTGGCTGGCGTCGCTCGGACCGATCCTGTGGGATTTCCGAGCCCTCTCCATGACATTCTGGCGGCGGGGCCATCGGGTGTGCTGGCACGGCATTGCAGGACCGGACGGGCCAGCCCTAAAATCATGCAGCGGCCGCGACTTCCTGGACGCCATCATCACTGAGTTCGACGGCATCTTCGCCGACCCCTCCGGCGTGCCACCGCCCCGCAGCCGCGATCACGGCATCACCCTGCTACCTGGTTCCGCCCCGGTGGCCGTCCGTCCGTATCGATACCCGGCCGCGCACAAGGACGAGCTGGAGCGTCAGTGCGCCGCCATGCTCGCCCAAGGTATCATCCGTGCGAGTTGTTCCGCCTTCTCGTCCCCGGTACTGCTGGTCCGCAAGGCCGACGGGTCCTGGCGCTTCTGCATCGATTATCGCGCCCTGAACGCCATTACTGTCAAGAATGCGTTCCCGATTCCGGTGGTGGACGAACTCCTCGACGAGCTACGGCACGCTCGTTTCTTCACCAAGCTCGATTTACGTTCCGGCTACCACCAGGTGCGGATGCGTGCGGAGGACATCCCGAAGACAGCTTTCCGTACTCATGACGGCCTCTACGAGTTTCTGGTGATGCCGTTCGAACTCTGCAACGCGCCGGCCACGTTCCAGGCCCTCATGAATGATCTGCTGCGGCCATACCTGCGTCGTTTTGTTCTCGTCTTCTTTGACGACATCCTCATTTTCAGCGAGACATGGGCTGACCATCTCCGACATGTGCGCACCGTCTTCACGGTCCTGCACCAGCACCGGCTCTTCGTCAAGCGCTCCAAATGCGCGTTCGCCGTTGAATCAATCGCATACCTGGGTCACACCATCTCCGCTGCAGGCGTGGCCATGGATCCGGAAAAGGTGCAGGCGGTGGCGGACTGGCTGCAACCACGCTCGGCGCGCGCGGTTCGGGGCTTTCTCGGCCTTGCGGGGTACTACCGCAAGTTTGTCAAGGACTTTGGCGTGGTTGCCGCGCCCCTGACGGCCCTCCTTCGCAAGGATGGTTTCTCTTGGTCGCCGGAGGCGGCAGCAGCTTTTACCACCCTCAAGACGGCAATCACCACGGCTCCCGTCCTCGCGTTACCGGATTTTACACGGCCGTTCATCGTCGAGTGTGACGCATCGACGTACGGTTTCGGGGCCGTCCTTCTTCAGGATCACCACCCGGTGGCTTTCTTTAGCCGGCCAGCCGCGCCACGTCACCGTTCCCTGGCAGCGTATGAACGGGAACTCATCGGCCTGGTGCTCGCGATTCGCCATTGGAGGCCGTACCTATGGGGGCGTCAGTTTGTGGTAAAAACGGATCATTACAGCCTCAAATTTCTGCTTGACCAGCGTTTGGCCACCATCCCGCAGCATCATTGGGTTGGCAAACTCCTGGGATTCGACTTTACGGTGGAGTACAAGGCAGGTAGTACCAACACGGTGGCGGATGCACTTTCCCGCCGTGACACGGAGGAGACGACGATCATGGCGGTCTCAGGGCCTCGTTTCGACTTCATCAATCGCCTCCGGCAAGCGACGTCTACTGATCCGGCGCTCGTCGCACTGCGGGAGGATATCACGGCAGGTGCGCGGCAACAGCCTTGGGCGCTCTCCGACGGCCTCGTTACTTTCAACGGCCGCCTCTACATTCCGCCGTCATCCCCGCTACTCCAGGAGATTCTCAGTGCCGTGCACGATGATGGGCATGAAGGCGTCCTGCGCACATTGCATCGTCTTCGCCGCGATTTCCACGCACCTAACCTTCGCAAGACGGTGCAAGAGTACATCCGCACTTGCGGTACTTGCCAGCGGTACAAGTCCGAGCACTTGCACCCCGCTGGGCTGCTACTGCCGCTGCCGGTACCCACGGGCGTGTGGACTGACATCGGCATCGACTTCGTGGAAGCGCTTCCTCGAGTAGGCGGGAAGTCTGTCATCCTCACCGTGGTGGATCGCTTCAGCAAGTATTGCCATTTTGTGGCGTTAGCCCACCCATACACGGCAGAGTCAGTGGCACAGGTGTTCTTCGCTGAGGTTGTTCGTCTCCATGGCGTGCCGCAGTCCATGGTCTCTGACCGCGACCCCGTCTTCACCTCCGCTTTTTGGCGAGAGCTCATGCGCCTCACGGGGACAAAGCTGCACATGACGTCAGCATTTCACCCGCAGTCGGATGGTCAAACGGAGGCTGCTAACAAGATCATTGTGATGTATTTACGGTGTCTTACCGGGGATCGTCCCAAGCAGTGGCTCCGGTGGCTTCCCTGGGCTGAGTACATATACAACACCGCCTACCAGACAGCAACCCAAGAGACTCCGTTCAAGCTTGTGTATGGCCGTGACCCTCCCACTATTCGCTCTTACGAGCCCGGCGACACACGGGTAGCTGCAGTGGCCAGGAGCATGGCTGAGCGCGACGAACTTATCGAGGACGTCCGCTATCGTCTACAACAGGCACAGGCGGTCTATAAGTCCTACTACGACAGACGTCATCGGGACATTCGGCATGAGGTGGGCGATTGGGTTTGGCTTCGCCTTCGACAGCGCGCCGCGTCCTCTCTCAACTTGCCAACCAGGGGCAAGCTCAAGCCACGATTCTATGGGCCGTACCGCATTTCAGAAGTGATCAACGACGTGGCATACCGTCTTGAGCTTCCGGCACGCTCGCGCCTCCATGACGTGTTCCACGTGGGCCTCCTCAAGAAGTTCTTCGGCATTCCTCCAACTACACCGCCGGGATTGCCTTCGATCCACAACGGGGCGGCTGTTCCAGAACCAGAGCGCGTGACTCGTGCGCGCCTAGCACGCGGCGTTCGCCAGCTACTCGTCCACTGGAAGGGTGAAGCAGTTTCGTCAGCTACATGGGAGGATCTTGACAGTTTCGTCGAGCGCTACCCCGCTTTTCAGCTCGCGGACGAGCTGCTCGTCGAGGGGGGGAGAGATGTCATGTGGGGCACGTCTTACAGACGTGGGCCGCGCGGCCAGGAGCAGCCGACGGCCGCATCAGGCAAGGCGCAGGCTGGACAGGAGTCCTGATCCGGGCACATTAGTTCCTAGACTAGTTTATTTCGTATAGGTTTCTAGTTTGTTATTAGCCCATGGGGCCTTTATATATCAGATAGTTAGCACCCTTTAGGGATAAGCAATAAAGTTATTTCCTTCTATCTTTCCCTCCCGCATCATAGAGCAGCCAGGCAAAAACCCTAGCGCTCCTATCCACCGCGACTACGAACTACGTAGTCGAGGTCCTGCTGTCTTGGGCACCGAGGCCCTTGACACAGATGAAACGGGATGGCTACACGCTATGCAATTTTACGGTCTGGTCTGTAATGGATTCTCTGATCTCAGACAGGTAAGATGAGGATTCCTTGTAATACTCGCAATTGCACCTTTATTAGAATCAGCCAAAAAGCTTGCATCCACAAAGGGCGATAGTATCCAGTGTGGTTTCGTGGGTGTGCTTTTCATGCAGGTTACATGTGAAAAACAAACAATGCAGGGAAGTACTTGCGAGAGTGGATTTTTTTATTTTTTTTGCACGGGTGCATTGGAGGAATTTAATTTAAATATTTTTAAAGTCAAATTAAAAAAAAGAATTCTTCATGATCATATGGATATATATTACACACATGTAAAGTTTGGTGATGAAATAAGTAAACATGTGAGCTATAAAAAAATGACAAAATGGTGATTTCTAAATAGTGAATAATAGAAGCAATGTTCATCTTTACAAAATTACGATTTTGTCATTTTTACGTAACTCACATGGCTACTTATTTCATCATCAGAATTTGCACACGTGTAGTAGCACATCTATATAAACATGTTGCTTTTTCGGGTTTTTTTAAACTTTGAAATACCATTTTGGTGCTGCTCAAAATATAGGGCTCACTAGAGTCTAGAGCTCGTCCAGCAAAGTGATTTTTCTTGTACTTGCACCATATAGTCAATTTTTGTCGCGTTTCGCTTGTGAATCTGTGTCATTACATGGTGAATATGTGCACCATAAAATGTAACTTTAGTCGAGTGGTTACATTTTTGCGAAGTACAGTACTACTACAAGAAAGGGATGCACACGCACACTTGGGATGTTTCTGCTTGAAGCTCCTGGGCTGAAGAGCTTCCGGCCACACTCACCTCCACCATCAGGAACAATGGGCCTTAGCCCACCATTCCTCCATCGCAGGCCGCAGTATATAAATGGCGATCCTCCCTTCCACGCCGCCTCCTCCCACCTAGGGTTCCACCAGAGAGCAAAAGGGGATCGGGGGTCAGTTATGCGCCACCGCCTGCCGTTCGCCGATCTTCCCCCTCTCGCCGTCGCAATCGCCGTCGGATGCCTCGAATGAGGATCTACTGCTGCTTGCGAGTAGGCGACCAAATAAGCAGCTCCCCCTTTGGGAGCTGCAGTCCCCAATCGAATCAGCAAGAGCAGCAGCTCTTTTGGGAGCGGCGATCCGCAATCAAGCGGCTCCTCTCCGAGCTGCAACCGGCAATCCAAGCAATCAAGCGGCTCCTCCCCGAGCCGCAGTCCGCAATCGGAGCGGCTCCCTTTTTTAGTGGCTAATCAATCCGGAATCAAAGCAGTCCTTTCCGGATTACAATCAGAAGCAGGTCCTGTTTTGAATTCATTATCCGAGTCTCTATTGGTGGCGGGACCCCAGCAGGTATATATATATATATATCTGGCCGGGCGGACGCCGCTGTACTTCTCGCAGCCAATCTTCGGAGGAGACCAAGTGGGGGCAACTCGTGAGCCTTCGTCAGCTGCCAAATTCACGGTGACCAATTCTTCTCCTGCCTCGGCGGATCTTCGTGGCAGCCATGGGGGTGAGTTCATTGTCCTCTTTTCCTTCACTGATTTTTTGTTTTCAGAGATAACCCTTTTTCCAGATCTAATCAAAGTTGAAATTTTGCACTTCTACATAAAAATTGCATCTTTGCGACTGAATCAAAGTTGCATCTTTGATAATTGCAATTTTTGTGTGGCAAAAACTTATGTCAAGTCTATGTGTCTTGTATCATTGGAATTACATCTTTGCAACTGTATAGAAATTGCTTGTCTGAGAATATCAAAATTGCTTATTTGTGACTAGTGCCAGAATCAACTCTCATTGTTGTCCATGCCAAATGCAGAAAGGCAATAAAGATGATAGGCTCAGCGCATTGCCTGATGACATTCTAGTCAACATTCTTGATCGGCTAAATGTCCCCCAGGCTGCAAGGACCAGCATCCTCTCAAGACGGTGGAGTCAGCTCTGCGCTAAGCTCTCTCGTCTTATAATAAGTGCTCTGGACTTTCTGCCTGAGGATGTGTCACACACCAACATCTCTGTTGATGAAGTGGTTAAGATCAATGCAGCTGCGGCTGAAGCGACAGAGAGTGTACTGGCACGTAGAAATCCAGGTGAACACACCATCCACCTTCTTTCTACGACGTTCTACCTGAGAGATGATGTCCCCATATTCATTGGAAATGCTGTTGGTCATGCCATGTCAACACACTTGGTCGAGAATGTTGAATTTAGTATTAGGACAGGGAAGGATCATGTTGCTGAAATTGAAAGTGATGATGAATTGGTCACCTGGGCGAGAGAATTCATGTTGTTCTTTGATGCTTGTCCAAATGTATTTGGTGGTCTCACAAGCCTCGACCTGGGGAATTTGAGGTTTGGTGAATCAGGCATATCCAGTGTCCTCACCACCTGCAAGCGGTTGAAGCATCTGCACTTGTACAGTTGTGACTCTGGTGATGGCAGCACGCTGCAAGTCGAACACGCTAATCTCAGTGTGCTTTGTATCGTCAATTGTCGTCTTGCACAAGTTAAGCTGAACTGGCTCCCTCAACTCACACAGCTGGCGTTTGACGGTTGGATAGATTTCCAAGATCCACTGGTTCTTGGTCATGTTCCATTGCTTGAGGCTGTATGCCTCACAAATGTTGGCCTTAGTTTTAATAAGATGGTCAAGTTAAGTACATTTCTTAGCAGTACCTCTGTACGAGATCTGAAGTTGGGGTTTTGTTCCGAAATGGTAAGTTAAGATTGTTGCTTTGCTAGCTGTGGCTTCACTTCATCTTTGCTCATCTAATCATGTGTATACTATATTCTTTGCAGATTTGGGTGCAGCCAGAATGTCCGACGGAAAGTCTGGCATCTGTGTTCCGACAACTAAGGTTTGTGAATCTAGTTGAACTTCCTGAAGGGTATGATCTCACCTGGACAATGTTCATTCTTGAAGCTGCACCCTTTCTGAAGGAGCTATACATGACAGTATGTTCTTACCTAGACATCTCTTTTAGCCACATGGGCTTAATATTTATTATTTCAAGAATTTCTCACCAGGTACATATGTCTGATCTATTGACAGTTTATTTTTATCTCTGTCCTATTGCTGATATGCAGGTATGGGATCATGTGTGTCATATGGAATTGGATGAGGAGAAGCGGAAAAAATTACAGTATAGTGAGAACAAGGGTGTAGAGTGGGGCTCGACCGCATCTGATTTCCAACACCACAGTTTGGTCACACTCGTCATATTTGGCTTTGAATCTGAAGATTACTTTGTTAGTTATGTGAAACGTGTTATGGCAGCGGCGGTCAATCTAGAGGATGTGTTCCTGTATAGTAGGTTGGAGTTGGAGTGTGGCAACTGCCAGGACTTGAAGCCGACAAGGTTCCCCTGGACTAAAAGGCAGAAGATTTCATTGAAGAAGAGAATCACTGCAGGGATTGAGTCGTTTGCCATAATCCACTCCAACAAGACGATAAGGGCTGATCATGACCTAAAAAGGCGTCACCCACGGTGCTCACTTGTTTGACAAAAAGAATTGTTGATTCAGCAGTAGTCTCATGGAAGTGTTTGTTACTTTTGGTTATTATAAGAGTACTTCTAATTTAGTTTGACCGTCTGAACTGTATTATCTATTATGTTATGATTATATGGAAGGATGATGAATACTGGATGATTATATTGCCAATGAATGTGTTTGTATGAAATTAAAAGAACATTTTGGCCAATGACCGTCTGAACTGTATTATCTAAAATGACTTATCTTGTTAGGCTACTGTATTTAAAAATTGAAATGCAAAAGATGGCAGCTCAGGCCCACTTGTGCCAACGTAAAAATGGAAGAGAGATGACAAAGGCAAAACAAAGCTTCAAATCATCATCTTGTTCGAATTAAATTAAAAACTGGCTATAAAACTATTGAACAGACATTTAATTATAGCCAACTGTTGAACATCATGGCATGTTTTTCTCCCATGTAATTCTTGTGTTTTCTTTGCAAATACACATTTCGCATTCAGCTAGTAAGCGTGTAAAGACTGGTGCTGAATGAGTAATGCTGAATCAAAGGAAGAAAGCTACTCAGAGTAGCAACACATGGGGAAAACCTGAACAAATTTTTTGCATTGCAGAGCAACACAGATGCACAAACAACAAATTTTAGAGAACAAGAATCACCAGAACGATGTACTGTTTCTTTTTTTTTGACAGTGTAATTATGCTGTAAAACATATAGTGCTGTAAAATACAATAGTGCTTGTGTTATTATGCTGTAAAATACAATGTTTTCAAATAACCCACAGTTTGAGCGGAAGTTTTGACACAATTTGCCCTCAAAAAAACCACTACATTGCAAACAAACATAACTCTACTAGAAACATCAGCAGATTGATCCTAGATCAACCACACCCTAGACCCCACTCTCTCACCCAATCCGTGTTGATCCATCACTTTGTAAACCCTGTAAATCCTTCCACATACGGTCATTCGGTTAATCCTCCCTACTACTATTAATCTGTTGTTGAAACAGTAAGCTGAAGACCACACGAAAACCAAATTCCTTTCCCTCTCCTAATTTCTCTTTTTCCAGAAGCACATTATGGACGTGGACGCAGAGGCTCACAACATGCATGCACACCCACCCCTACCCCTACCCTTATGAGGACATCTGAGAAACCGAGCCGGCAGATCTTAATATTGATGAAGTCGTCAGAGGCACCTCCTAGTTGATGGACACACCATATCACCGAAAAAATAGCGTCGGAGAACCTGAAATAAATCCAGGAAACATAGGAGCACCTGTCTCAAGTCTAGGACTTGAATCCAGGTGGGTTGGTTCTATCACAAAGAAACTAACCATCTAAGCTAGGATTAGTTCGCAAATTCTTCATGAAAAGATATACTCGTTCATTTCACGTTAATCAAGATTAGTTTTCTCCCGACTGCATGCATACCCGAGAATTGGAGGCGATTGCAAACTATGCAAAGGTCGTCAAATCCAGCCACCTAGGACCAAGGGTACGACTACCGACCATCACCAGGACTGCCATCAACACGCCCTACGAATTTCCCTCGGCAGCTTGCCTGAATTCTGTTGAAGATGACTGCCCCGTGAATGTCAAATAGACCTGCTCGATGTACGATGTCTTGGCTGAGAACAAGCATTCAGGAATTCAAACTCACACAACATGGACTGTTAGTAGACCAGTCATCATCACTTTGCCTTCTAAACGCAATCATGGAATATGAATTTTACTCGATTCCCATTTTCATGAGTAACGGTGACTAATGTGTGTACATTCTCTTTTGTTTTTGCGCGCGAGGGAGGGGTGGGGTACATTTTTTTCATGAACCTCAAGAAAGAAGCACGCGTGATGAATACTCTCCCTGGGTTATGAAAGGTGACTTCAACGATATACTTTTTGGCCAGGAGAAGGAGGGTCGTGATGTTCTTGGGATGTGTGCATCCAAGTCTTGTGATGTGTTTGGTTGCTCCCAGCAAACCCATGCAGGATCCGGGGAACCAAATTTTGCATGTTTGATTACTTGGGTTGCATTGTAATAGTGATCCGCATTAACCTCAAAGCACTGCTCGGCCTGGTCCGGGAGGAACTCCCGAATTGCCGTTTTCTAGGGAGCTAGGGCTTGATGCTGCAGCGGGGGTAGGGGGCTCGTGTGAGCGGGGGTATGGTGTGTGCTCGTGCGTGTCCGCGAAAAAAATACGTGAGTTATTTCGATCACCTCTTGCTGATTTCCTCGCTCTACTTACCCACCGGCTCAGCGCCATAACCCGCGCCACCCCCCTCAAGATTTTGTCCTGGAAAGGTTCCTCATCGATGAGCAGGTAAGCGGCACCATCTTCTCCGACCGACGGTGATCGACGGAGGCAAATCCTTCTCCTCTTCTCCAAGTTGTTCCCTACCTCCTCCCCACTCAGCTGATGGTTGCAAGTAACACGTCTTGTAGCTTATATATATGTAAGAATGTAGTATATTATAGAGATCTAAAGGTAATATGGCAGGTTTTGCAAGTATTACTTCATGATGTTGTGTGAGAATGTGGTAGATCAGACAACGTTTTGGTAGTATGGTAGATTTTGCATCTCGGTATCATGAATTTCTGTGCGACTGTTGAAAGTGCATTTGTCCCTAAATGGTGTTTTGGTGTGATGACAATGTGGTTAGCAAAGACTAATGATGATTACTAAGTTTACCTCGGGTCATTGGTCTCTCTAGGATTACTATATGGACATGGTTGACCCCCCCCCCCCACACACACACACTTCAAAAAGGAAAAAGTGTGATTTTAGAAATTTTGATTTGCTTTCTTTTGAGTTGTAGGATCACCACACTATTAAGAGGGGTCGAGGTGCTTGAATGTGCGTGTTATTAGAAATTTTGGTTTCTTTGGTTTCTTCATCAACATCTTCACCAGCATCATCTCATGTCCAAACCCTAGTTCGTTTGTGTTCAATCTTTTTATCAGGTCTTAGATTGTTACTTGGGAGTACTTGTAGGTGGTGATTACATCTTGTAATTTATGCAATGTTGGGGATATCGCTTATCGAAAACTTATCGCTCGACCCAAGATAAGGGGTAAATTAGCCAGTTTATCGGCATATCGGCCGATTTATCGCCATACAGGCCGATTTATCTTATCGGTCAGACAGCAGTAAGCGATAAATCGGCCGATTTATCGGCCGATTTATCATAATATCAACCGATATCTTGAACAGTGAGTTTATGCTTAGCAGTTGTATTGGTGGAAGACTGTTATGTTCAGGCTGTTAACCATATATTTATACCCACTGATCATGATCCATATAATGAATTGAGAGTAGTTCCACTAGTGCTTGAGGACATGGGAGAAACCTTGTTACTAGTTCAAA